ATTTAGCCGGAGCAGCCAGGGAAGTTGTGGCTGCTGGGAAAGGGCTGGAAGTGTCCATGTAAGCCCAGCCTTCAGCAGCAGACCGTGAGAGGAGGTTTAGAGCAGTGTGGTTTTCTAGCACTTATTAAGGAGGGTGTTGTTGCCCCCACTCTGGGCAGTGCCCTGAGCTGTGAAGCAACAGCTGCCAGGAGCTGTGAGGGAATGACTGCAGGAGGGGTCTGGAGTCTTCTCTGGGTATTGCAGCAGCTGGAGATAGTCCTGCTGTGGGACAGTGCCATGAAAGGTTTTGTGGCTTTCTGCAAAATCTTGCACGCTTGTACCCTCAGAAAACCTGAAAGAAACGGCTCAGAGGCTTCCAATAGTGTTTCTATTTAATCACGTTTAGTGAAACAAACATTTGAGATCAAAGAAGGGAAAAGGCAGAGTTTAGAAATGCCAGCTTCTAAAATATTAGGTATTTTCAAAGGACATTTTTTTTCATAGAACTACAATGCAGCTTTACCAGGTGAGAGGTTTAATTAGCTGCTTTCCTTCAAGTGCACAGCATTGAAAGCAGAGATAAAACCTTTCCAAGCCGTATTTCTGCTTCTGGAAAGTATGAGCTGATATGTGCTCTGTTATCTCTCAACTGCCAGTCTGACTTTTAACATCTTGGCAAATGTCCCATTTGCTTGGTATGTCCAAGCACTGCCATTATCTCAGTTCTGAGCAATTTCTCACATTAACAGTGTAGGTGACACAAGCTGGAGTTGGTGAAAAGGCCTGAAGAGCCAGAACCTCCTCTAAAGCATAATCCCCCTTCACTGGAGAGGACTGCAGGTGTCTGCATCCTAAGAAAGGAATGTCAGGAATGTGACTTTTGCAACGGAAAGGTAGGATTAGTAGAAGAACAGGGAGAAAAGAAAATTGCACTTTCCTCTAGAACTGGTTTGTGTTGACTCACTGTGGCAACAAGCCTCAAGCTGAGCCTTCTAAGAACACTGGGGCACCTCTGCCAAGGTGCCAGGTATTCCTTCCCCTTGTTAGGCACAGGCATAACCAACTTGTTCACAAAGAGCAAGTGTTAATTAGGGTCAGTGGGCCTTTCAATTTATCAGATGCTCTTCTTGTCACGTAATGAAACCCCAAGGAACCCCAGAAGGCTTTTAGCTGAAACTAAGTAAAAATAGAAGTCAGTGGGAGAAGGGAACACCTGTCAGCAATCCAACACTTGTATCATCTGAAATTTTTTCTCAGCCTCTCAATAGATTTAGTCAATCTTCTACATGTTAAATAACTTGTGATGATTTGTTGTTGCAATAAACCTTACACCATGATCTAAAAATTAACGCTGGCCACTTTGTCTGTTGTTCCCAGGGGTACCTCAAATCACAGTTATTTAATGCAAAATTGCCAAAATATGTGACCATTCTCCTTCAGCGAAATGCACCCAAAACTACATGACTTGATTGCTAATAAATGTTTTTTCTTGGAAACTAAGGCTGGGTGGCTGTAGGAATGTGTGTCAACGAAAAGTTTAGCATCTGCATGTACACACCTGTATCTGAGGGCATGGAAGCTCTTCAGCCTCTCCCAGACTTGCTCAAAGCATAAACAAGTGCTTATTTCAACGGGCCAAAATTCTGATCACTTCTGTGACACTCTGGATTTTGCCCACAAGGGGGGTGTTTAGGCCTTTTAATTTGTGAGAACCACAGGACCATCAGCTCTTCAGGAGGAACGCTGGTAGCAGCACAGCTTCAAAAGTTTGCTCCAAAACTGGTGAACCACCACTAAAAAGAACTTCTGTTTTACTGTTAGATGCTGAACAAGATGTCCTTCCCACGTGCCCTGCCCTGCCCTGGGACACACAGCCTGCAGCACACGCTGCCAGGTGTCGAAGGCAGCGGGGAGAGATCAGGGGCTCCACTCTCGCTTCCCCTCTGTCACAATCAATATCACACCGACATTTCCAGCACAGATGGGCCTCTGTGGCTCCCTCCAGAAGGCAGCGCTCTGGGGACATCTGGAGCTGTGAGCAATGATGCTGAGCAGGGGTGACAAGAGCTGTGGGAGCAGCACAGGCAGAGCAGCAGGACGGGCACGCAGCTCTCACTCACACTTGCTCTGAGCGTGGCTTGGGCCAACCATCCTTGCAAGACTTGTGAGCAACCACATCTTGCACTCCCCACTGGAAATTAGACAGATCAAAGCCTGATCTAGATCTCATTCCTCTAGGCATTAACATGAGCTGTAAAATCCTGCTGATGTCATATTTTTATGAGGTTTTATCTCGTCTGGAGCAGATATGGGTAACCACAAAGACTTTCAAAGTGGAAGCTCTTCATGGAAGTGTGGGATTTTCAGAAATTTTCAGACTCCTGAAACATCGGCTCTGTCTGGCATGGCACCAAGAAAATAATACCTTTGTCTTGTGCAGTCTCCTGACAACATTTGAGCGTTTCCACCTCTTCCTGTATGCATCTTAACTGCCATAATAAATAGGAAAATGCAACCATCTCTGTTTTATGGGAGAAACTGAGGGATGACACAGTGCTGGCTTACTGCTTATTATGCCAGGAAGGTTGTTTTGGGAAGCCTTCTGCCCCTAGACTAGTGACTCTGGTTTTGCTGGTGAAATTACAAATAAGGGGGGGGGGGGGGGGGGGGGGGGAATGGGGAGAAAGAACTGTTGAAAGGCTGTGAAATCCAGTATAAATAAAAGTAATTAGACTTTAGTGGGCCAGACATCTGTTCTGATTCTGCAGCTATTGGAGGTGATAAATGACCCCCACAGGTAAATCTGCTCCACCACAGGAGCGTGCAATCAGTTTTCAAGCTTTTGCCCGAGCGAGCAGCAATTTGCTCGAGACAGTTTGCAAATTGGGGATTTTTGGTTAGCTGTTAGGAAAAGCCTCAGACATTGCTCCCAGGCTGTTGTAGGGGACACTCCGGTGCCTCTGAAGATGTGAACATGTGTCTGAGCAGACTGAGCAAGCTGGGTTTGCTCCTTAGTACGAGCACCTGCAGGCACAGCGAGTATTTGGTTGAAGATAAAAAGGTCCCCCCAATACGTGAGGACTCCAGCGTGACAAAATGGTGTTTCGAGTCTTCTTCTGACAATTTGTCGGGCCTGTTTCATCTAAAGAGAGCTGAGCCCCTTTCCCTGTCCAAGTTGGGCTCTGAACAGTGAGTGGCTGACTGATGTGGCTGAGAGGGAGGATAGCAGATCTGCAGCTCTGAGCTGGCCCCGTGCCAAGACACCCGCTTTGGAAACTCAGAGCAACTGGTTCTAACATTTAGTAGAATTTAGATGCTGGAGCTGGTCCTGGCTGCTGCTCTGCCTCACTCCTGCCAGCTGCAGAGGCACTGAACCTCCTGCTCCACGTCTGCAGGCAAAATCATCCTACACACTTGGCTTGACACCAGTCTGGGTTTATTCACCCTCCACCCTCTCTGGCTGGAACCTCAACCGAGGGCAGCACTCAGCAGTGTTTATAGAGGCTTGTCTGATTTTCTTGCTGTGAATCCAAGGAACAATCAGATTTTTCAGGGCAAGAGCAGAAGCTCTGGCCCAGGCAGACTGATTGGTAGTCATCTGTAAGCTTGAATCCCACAGCTCCCACATGTAGCCAAGGTTAGAGGCAGCAGACAGCCACAGTATTTGCAGGTGACAGTGGGAGCCCTTTCTCCACCACACCTGCACTTTGCACAAAGGAAGGGGAATCTGTTTGCCGTGACATGGTGATCCCAAAGTCCATCCAACACTGCATGGATTGAACCCTTCACTCTTTAGTACCTTCACACTGATCTTGGCTCGTTTGATTCCACAGAATTTCAGCCAGACATCCCCCAGCATAATATTTCAGGGCTGTTCCTCTTTCGACTGATAATGGCTCAGCTGTCTCTCACTGACATGTTGCTGACTGAAGGGCAGTCTCTTCCATACTGCTTATAGACAGAATTTCTCTTAGATCCCAAAATTAGGCATGATATATGGATGCAAAAAAACCAAACCCACAAAACAATTCAAGAATTCAGGGACTTCAGGAGGATGAAGCCATAAAGGCAGATTCTGCTTATCAAACGCAGAGCAATTCCATGAAAAAGTAGGTCTGTGAGCCTTTCTTTAGCATTTCCTAATCGTGCCTCGAGAGTAATTTTTCACAGATAAGCATGTAGCACCTAACACGTACAGATTACATGGTAACAAAGGCAATTATCCATCCATATGGTGTTCCAGCAGTCGTGTAGCATTTTATTCACATAACTGGGCCCCGGACACTGCAACCAGCTCCTGATTTATGCCTCACCACTTCCCTTTCATATTCTGAGTCACAAGCATTCGCGTCTCTGAGGTTTTTGCGAGTGTTCCCTACCCCATTTCAGGGTGACCCCCGCACTCCCATTCCCTTTGTTCTGCCATGGACGACTCCTGGCTGCATTTTCCCTGCCACCAGCGGGGATCCGCCGTCCCTGGCCGGCGCTGTCCTTACGGGTTTTCAAGGCAGAAGCGATGGATGGTGTGATGCACCTGGCGCAGGAGACCTTAGGGTGAGGAGCGGCCGGGGAGCTGCCACAGACCCGACCTCAAACCTGAGCGGCGCCTCAGGGAGGGGGCACAGCCGACCCGCCCCGGGCCGGCCAGGGACGCGCTCCCACCGGCGTCGGGGCTGGCCAGCGAGCGTTTTCCATGTTCTGTCGGCTCCGAACCCTTCTCACGGCTCGCCCCACGCCCGGCCCGCCTGCGGGACCCCCGAGTTCCCAGGATTTTCCCCTTCCCGGGATCCCCCCATCGGCTCTCCCGCCCCGCTCCCTCAGCGCCGGCAGCGCCCCCTCGCGGCCCCCCCGGGCACAGCCTCGGGGTAGCCACGCCCCCTCTCCCCCGGCGGCGCCGCGGATTGGTGGGAGCGACCGAGGGGCTCTCGGAAGCCCCGCCCCCCTCCTCGCGCGGCGCCCCCTGTGGGCCCCGCGGCGCGTGCGCGGCGGCCCCGGCCGTTGTTGTGGAGGGGCCGGTCAAGATGGCGGCCGGGCAGGGGGGCGGCGGCGGCAACAACGGGAACGGCGGCGGGAGCGGCGCGGCGGGGCTGGGCATCCCCGGCCACCTCACCCTCTCCTTCTCGGCCGGGCCGCACTGGGGCGCGGCCGCCCTGCCGCAGCCTCACACGGTGCGCAGCCTGGAGCGGGCCCTGGAGGAGGCGGGCAGCTCGGGCATCCTCTGCCTCAGCGGGAGGAAGCTGCGCGACTTCCCCGGCAGCGGCTGCGACCTGAGCGACACCACGCAAGCGGGTGAGGGGGCTGCGGCTGTGGCGGGGATGGGGCTGCGGGGGCCGTGCGGACGAGGGGCGCGTCCCTGCTGTGGGACGGGCGGTGGGGGGTGCGGGCCCCGCTGCGGGGGCTGCAGCGAAGGGGTCCCTGTGGTGACAGGGCAGCACTGCAGGGACTGCGGGACCAGCTCCGGGGAGTGACACGGGAGCGGCTGCTCCGGGTGAGGAGCCTTGGTCCCGCCGTGTGAGGGCAGGGGGGACACTGGGGAGGCCCCACGTTTTGGGGGGGCTCTCCCTGGAGGCAGCGGGACAGGGGTCTGCAGGATGTGGGGGTGCAGTGGTGGGGGCTCCCCCTGCGCGCAGTGGGGGCGGTTCTGCCCTGCGTGTCTCGGGGGTGAGTCCCTGCAGCTCCGGGCTCTGAGCGGGGGCACCCGGCGAACGGAGCGGGGGGTCCTGGGGGTGCCTGGGGAGGAGAGGGGCGAGGGGCACCAGCAGCGAGAGGCTCAGTGTGTGTGTGAAGGCACAGGGCTGTGTGTGTGTTTGTGTGTGTGTGTGTGTGTGTGTGTGCGCCCCGAACAGGGTGTGCAAGGTGAATGGAGCTCTTTATTGGCGCTCCAGGGAATCACAGCTCCCGTGCTGTGGTTGGTTCGTACCTTCAGGGCAGTGGAGCTGCATCGCCTGGGTTGTTCGGGTCGGTCCTTCTCCTCAGCTCAGCGCGAAGATGGTTCCAAGCGCGGGTGCGAGGGATGTGTGCGCATCCAGCGGTGTGTCTGGAGGGCTTGGGGTGTTCGCGGTGTCGGTAAAGGCTTGGATGTCGTGAGTGGGCCTGCATTCACCCAGGCTTGTAGGTGAAGGAAACATGGAGGCCTTTTTCTCTGCGGTTCTTAGAAAACAAAGCTGCATTTCCCAGGAGCTCGCCTCTGATGTGCTCGAGGGGTTATTTGGTGCTGGGTTACTTATTGAAAATGGACCATTTTGAGTAATGTGCTAGAAGAAAATATTATTGAGAGGCCAAGGTCTTTTGTAGTAGTGGTTTTCTGCAATGTTGTTTGGGTGAATTAATGCTGTGGGGGTTTTTTTTGTTTCGTTTTGGGCCTTTTCTTTCCGGATGGAAAGATGGTTATGAATTACTGGTGTATTGTTTTGAATAGGAGACTGCCCTCTGTGGTACCTTAAAATAAAAAGAGGCTCCATGAAATGATAGAAGCTGGAGTTTTCCTTGTAGTAGCATAAAATGTGTTTAGTGATGTAGTTGGTCACTGCTGTATATAAATATTCAGTAACTGAAGCATTAAGGAAGAAGCATTGTAGGCATATGGGCAACCTGTTATTAAAAAGGCTCTCTGTATCCTGAAGTGGGTGCATCAAGGATCGGTGGTTTTTGTTTGCTTCTAATTATTACTGTTTGCATTTTGGCAGTTTTTTGGTCGTTTCATTTTGAGTCTCGACAGTTGGGTAAGAGCTGTCTGCAGTGATCTTGTCTTTCTGTTTTTGGATGCAGTAGAGGCCAGTCAGTGCCATCAGGATGGAATTGTTGCTGTGAACAATGGTGTGAGAATGTTTATGGGCAGTCTCTGACAGAAATAGCTTTACTGCTTGCTGCTGTAGGATTCCCTACTGAAATAGCTGATGTGGGCCTGTGCAAGTGCCACCTGATAACAATCCTGATTGGATGTAGCCCTGGTTTATGAATGGATCCTGAGAAATACAAATTTTAGATGTTTTTCAAAAGCTGCTCGCAAGCAAAAGATTTGTAGTCTCTATTTTAACTTGATCTGTAGAATTTTTTGGTTGGTGGGTAAATGGTGTTCTGTTGGTGAATCTTGGACATCCTTAATGGAGTGTCAGTGTGGCCTGGAGCGTAATGGGAGATCAGCAGCTGCCTCAAAGGCAACAGTGGTGTAGTTATTGGCATTTTTGTAGCAGTTATCCCCAGGGACAAGGTTCTAAGTTGAGACTGAGCTGTAGGATAGGAGGATTGGATCAAAGCTCTGCAGTGTTTCACTTTGTTTTAAGTCAGTGACTGAATTTCAGTTCTGTGGTACTTGAAACAAACATTTAAAAAAATCAGCCTAGAACCAATTTGGATGTAAACAAATTTTTTTCCATATTGCCAACCCTTATGCAGTAGGATCTGTTACTGTAAACCCAGAATATTCTACCTTTATATCAGTTAAGTCAGCAACAGCAATGCTGAAGCACAACTGCTGTTGATTTATCAAAAATAACTTGGGATTTTATTTTGCATCTAACTTATGTAATGGCTGGCTTGCCAATGCTTAATTTGTAATTACAGTGACATAGTTTTTGCATCTTAAATAATATGTCAAAAATTAATGCTGAGCTGAAAGCACAGTGACCGTATCTGACTGTTTGGCTCTTTTTCTTTTTTTAATGTGAATTGTCCTTTGTGCAAGAAAACCTTATTTTATTATTTATCTGAATTTGTCTCCTGGCTGTTCAATCAGATCTTGTGCTGCTCTAAATGAACTTCTGGAAAAAAAAAAATCATAGGCCTTGAGATATCAAGAGATATCTTGAATATTCCAGTCATTTTATGAACATGTGTAGTTTTGCCTCTCTCTCTGTGAGCACCATTAGGCCCCCTGGCAGTTAAGTAATTGAGTCTATCACATCAGTGTAATCACGGTCTGCTTAGCTGGGGAGTTGTGTGCTTGCTGGTTTTTTTTTTTTAAAGGCAGGTCCCTGTGTTGTATTGCCGTGCTGAGCTAAGCCGAGCTGTGCCATTAGTGATTTGCCCTCTCTTAGTGAGCACTTCTTACAACATGAATGTGGTAAATGTGGAAGGTGCTTGACTGACAGCTCAAGGTACCATTTGTGTGCTCTGGTTACTGCAGTGGAGCCATCAGGCTTCCTTGGTTGTGGCTTTGTCACAACAGATCTGATCCCACTTTTTAATTCTGAGGGAACTTCCAAGCAATTATAAGTAAGTGACTGATTGCCTATAAATAGATTAATGATTAACTTGGAAATTTCTCCTTTCTCACCACCTGCTTCCTCTTCAGATTTGAAGAATAACACCAGTGTATTTCCAGTGTGACTTCAGAGCCAGCTCTCCTGGCATGGGCAAGGCAGGAAGAGTTCCCACCTTGAGATCCCCGTGTGTATCTGAGGGATGGGAGGACACAGCCTGTTACAGATACCATTATCAGCATTCCCTGCATGTCTCTGATTTTTTTTTTTTTAATCTTATTTCTGGATTTTCTAAGGTATATAGTCATTCAAGTGATTACAGATTAAACCAAACAAACCTACAGCTTAACAGTGAGTGGCAAATGACAAGAATGGTAATTTATAATGCTGTTCTGCCTCTCCAGTATACACTTCTAAACCAAGTATGTTTTCCTTTCTGAATGAAGTTATTTTTGTTTGTGGTGCCAGTGTTGATTGAATAAATGATGGCAGGTAACTGAAGAGCAGCAGCAAATTCCAGTATTCAGCTAAAGAAATTAACATCTATGATATATATCTTAAACCTAGATTACATTCTAGAAATCAAGCATATTGCAAAACATGGTTCTTCAGTAGCGACTCTTTCAGATTTGCATGAAAAGAGAAACTCGGATTCGATTGTTTTTTGGGAGGGAGGAGTTAGTGTTTGTGTTCAAAACTGCATCTGCTGCAAAATCTGGAAGTGACACAGTTTATAAACAAGTAATTGTGGAAATTCCCCCCAGTGCTTTCAGAACCTGCCCAGTGTTTGGGCTGAGAGAAGTGAGCTGGGTGTGCTTGAGGCTTTTTTGCTGAAGGCCAGTTAATACAGATCCTTGGGAAGGACACTTGGTGTGATGGGCAAGTTGGGAGAAGTCTCAGTTCAGTGAGTTGAAATTAAAACAACTAATTATTAGTTTGCCTGCCTAGAAGGATTGAGTTATGAACAATATCACTTATATCTTAATTATAAAAACCCCAGATTCTGTGTCACAGCCTCTGAAATACCGACAAGAAACATGTGATGTGCCACTTTTTGACTTTTTTGTGTTCTCCATCAGAATTAAATTTGCCATTGCATTGACTGTTTTTGTGCTTTGGAATGTCCAGCATTTATTGCTGTAATATTTCTGCCTTTGGTCAAATAAGGAACTTCTTGTACTACGTATTTCTACTTTGTTACTGATTATTTGCAGAGGGAGCAAATATATTTAAATCATAGACTGTATTGCAAAACCTTGTGTGATAAAGTGGAGTAGCCTTTGCTTTTTGAGGTATTCTTTTTGGTGAAATGTTTCTTTGTGTCTTCCCATTTGAGTTGTGCAGCTTGGCTGGAGAGGATACAAAAGTACATATTCATTTTCCCAGCATGGCTGAAATCTGTCCTTAGCAAAAATGTAACAAAATCAGGGCTGAAGGCTGGAATTCCCCAGGAAATGTTAAGATACTTGGTGCTTTTCTTTGTGTGTTAAAACTTGTACGTGACAGTGTGAAGAGAGACTTCTGAGTTCTCTGCTTTCCTGTGGCTGTCCAGCAGTCTAATGTTCATCATACTTCCATCTAATCTGGGATTGTTTGCCACTCGCTAGGGAAACGTTCAGATCTAGAGAAGGTTGAGCACTTCAGGTGAAAAAAAAAACCAAAACAGGTCTTATTCTCTGGTACAGACCTAAAATAGTTTAGTGCTTGGCAGGCACGATCATCACACATGTGCTCCTACATGTCAGTGTGTGATTCCTGAAAAAATGGGTTCGTGGTTCTGAAGCTTGAAGGAGCCCCTGCATCCCTGGCTCTTCATCAGCTGCTCAGCTGCAGGTGTAGCTGCACAGAGAGAAATCCCTGACCATCTGGGTGTTACCCCAAACACTCCTCCAGTTTGTCACCTCACCTCTGTTTCAGGAGGTGGAAGCAGGATGTGGTGGACCAGAACGTGTCCTGTTGAAGGCTGACCTAGAACTAAAAGGTTTATGGAAGGATTTGCTTCGAGTCATTGCATGAGAGATATTGTACAGTTATTTTGAAGCTGATAGAAGTGCCTAAGAGTGCTCTTTGGTGTTTGATTTTTGTCTG